GACATGTCTCTAATAAATGTTTGGTGAAAAAAAGAATAAAATGGTAATCTTTGGGATCTAATAGCTATTCTCCTGATTTTACAAATAATGCAAAGAAGGCCCAGAAAGGTTAGTCCATGATCACTTACTTTTTTGGGGGCGGATCGAGTCTTGCGCTGTCACCCATGCTGGAGTGCAGTGGCGCGATCCAGGCTCACTGCAACCTCTACCTCCTGGGTTCAAACAATTCTCCCTGCGTCAGCCTCTCAAGTAGCTAGAATTACTACAGGCACCCACCACCACACCTGGCTAATTTTTCTATTTGTAGTAGAAACAGGGTTTCACCATGCTGGCTAGGCCAGTCTCAAACTCCTGACCTCAAGAGATCTGCCTGTCTCAGCCTCCCAAAGTGCCGGAATTATAGGCCTGAGCCACCACACCTGGCTATGGCAGAGGCCCATGCTGAATTTTGGACTTTTCTTTTCCTATTTCAAGACTCCTTTCTATTTTATATTTTCTACATGCTTTTGCTGATATTCTCTCTCACATGGATTTCACACCAGCTGAATTACTGCTCTACCAGCCTTTATCTGTGATTTTCCGGTTCTGTTTTCTGCTTTTGACAGTAGCACTGGGGGAAATATTATATGAAGTCCTCTTAACAATTCTTAAACCTATGCTCAAACTATACCTAACTGGAATAACAATGCTACTTTAAGACTGCTCATCATTTATTCAACACATATTCACTAGGCACCTATTATGTACCAAACACCATATCCCATTAACCAGAAACCTCTATTAACTGGCATCTGTGCTTACTGATAAAACTGATGCCAATAATCACCTAACACAGCCAAGCACTGTGGGTCACACCTATAATCCCAGTGATTCAGGAGACTGAGGTGGGAGGGTCACCTTAGCCCAAGAGTTCAAGACCAGCCTCGGCAATGTAGTAAAACCCTGACTCCAGAAAAATACAACAATTTTTTTTCTTTTGAGACAGTCTTGCTCTGTTGCCCAGGCTGGAGTGCAGTGGCATGATCTCAGCTCGCTGTAACCTCCCACTCCCGGGCTCAAGTGATTCTCCTGCCTCAACCTCCCGAGAAACTGGGATTACAGGCGTGTGCCACCACACTTGGCTAATTTTGTGTACTTTCAGTAGAGAATGGGTTTCACCATGTTAGCCAGGATGGTCTCAATCTCCTGACCTCATGATCTGCCCATCTCGGCCTCCCAAGTGCTGGGATTACAGGAGTGAGCTACTGCACCCAGCAAAATATAACAAATTTTTTAAAATGCCTGGATTCCTAGTTACTCAGGAGGCTGAGGCAAGGGATCACTTGAGCCCAAGAATTCAAGGCTGCAGTGAGTTATAATCATGCCAATGTACTACAGCCTAGGTGACAAAGCGAGACCCCATCTCTAAAAAAATTAAATAAAATAAATAACCTAAAACAGAGGTTCACAAACTTCAGGCCACAGGCCGAAACTGGCCCTGCCTGCTTCTATAAATAAAGTTTTATTGAAACAAGGTAGTATCCAGTCATTTACATATCATCTATGGCTGTTTTGGAACCACAAGAGCAGAACTGAGTAGTTACAGAGACCATATGACTTACAAAGCCTAAACTATTTACAATCTGGCCCTTGACAGAATAGTTTGCAGATCCTATTATAAGATGCCAATATGCCATCTTAGTCTCAAAACACTTTATATTTGGTATATTTTTAGTAGGAGTTAACATATAATAAACAAGTAATCAATAATTTCATGTTAATTATTTGAAAATCATCAAAAAGTCATGGAACCTTGATGATCTTTAATCCCAGCTCCTCACAAAATCGTTTTAGACTGAACATTCTCATTATTTTTAAAACCAGTCCTCACATAGAAAACCATACACTCCCTCGCCAGTTACAAGTTACTTCTCTGAACAGATCTCTGAATTCCACTGTGTATATCTTAAGGTTTCCTACTTGCAATAACTCAAGCATAATAGTGTTTTATTCCTGAAGGGGAAAAAAAGACTTTCACATATACTCATTGATGATGTTCAGCATTTGTGGGACTTTTTTGGCTACATATTACCATGAACTAATACCTTCAAGGAACAAGATAGCAACTTTACATTTCTTTCCTGGGCGTAATTAAATGACCCACATCTAAATAAACCCAACTTCAATATGCCTTAAAATATTTCTTTAAAAATATTCAATAACTCACAAGATTAAAATAAGAAAATTTATAAAATGTCAGAACAGACAAGGCTTTGGAGATCACCAAATTCAAATACCTTAATTTGCAGATGAGAAAGATGAGGCTTAAATGACTTGACAAAGGACCAGCTACTTTTTATTAATTCACACTGACTGCAAATCAGAAAGTTATACTGAAATCCTAGCTATAAAACCAGGCACTGTGCTCGGGACCAGGATTACATATACTTAGGTCTATATCATCATTCCTGTTCTAGGTTGTTTCTGGAAACATAAAGCTTGGTCATAGTCTCAGATTTTGTTTTCACTGTGTTTATATATTATTTGAGACAGGGTCTCACTCTCTCAGCCTGTCACTAGGCTGGAGTGCAATGGCACGATCTCAGCTCACTGCAACCTCTGCCTCTAGGGCTCAAGCTGTCCCCCCACCTCAGCCTCCCAAGTAGCTGACTACAGGCATGAACTATTATACTCGGCTAATATTTTTATTTTTTGTAGAGACAGAGTTTCAACATATTGCCTAGGCTGGTCTCCAACTCCTGAGATCAAGCTATCTATCCACCCCTCAGCCTCCCAAAGTGCTGGGATTACAGGCTTGGGCCACGGTGCCTGACCTCAGATTTGGTTTTTTAAATAAGAGCCTCCAGAGCACTTTCATTCATGAATGATATATCAGGGCCAAGCATACTCATGCCTGGCACCTTCAAACTCCTAACAACGATGACCACAATCCCTATTTGTTTATTTCTTTCCTCCACCAGCACAGAGTGAATGTTGCCATATGCGATGGTAAAGTGTCTTTAAGAAATCTTCAGGGGTATTTTAGAAAGTTAACTCCATATAACCAGTATACAAATCAGTTATTAGCTTCTTCCACAGCTGAAAAGGACTCTGATGAAAATCCCAGTACTGAAAGAAAAATATTAAATTTCAAGCTCATATTACCTGATACCAGATGTAACTTTAAGAACTATTAAGCTCATAAAAAAGGAAATTTAATCTATTCTAATTATGGAGGAATGAAGGAGGCTGGGACCTCTAAGAACACTCAGTCCCAAGCACTGACCCAGTGTCAAAGGAGGGTTAAAAAAAAAAATGGCACCATCTCAGTGCAAATTAAGTATACCAAAAAATGAACAAAACTGCCACTTTTGTTTTACCACAAACAGAATCATCTATGCAATATGTAATGTGCAGAAATAACTGGAGGAAATGTATAAAATGAGAACAAAACTACTGAATCTCACCTTTACCATGGTAGTGTTTGAAAATAAGTCTTAAGGTAATTAAAATAAAATGTTTCAATGAGGTCATATGATCTTAAATCCATTTTAGCTTAATATTAGTAGTAATTTGTTTAAATTAGCAAATTAAAAACATACTATGTAATTTTCTTTGCTTTTGGACCCTATTTTTGCCCTACTAATATCACTTATATAGGCATTAATTCAATTTTTTAAAAGTTCTAATCACAAATATTTTCTAATTCAGTTTAAGATAAGTCCATGACAAACTATCACTTGCAAACATTATCGGTATACAAACATCTCATCTGAACCCCTTCACAACCCTAGAGGCATGTATTATTATTTCTATAACATCCATTTTAAAGATGAACAAACTGAGGTTTATAGATGTCACCAACTTGCTTAAAATCATAGGGCTTGTATGCGATAAGGTGGTGAACCAATCCAGGCTTATCTGCAGTAGGTGCTTTCAATCACATTAAAAACCAGGGTAAAAACTAATTTGTCAACTAATTCCATGTAACTTTAAAGAATATCAATAATCATATATTCTAGCTGGGCAGCAGTCCATCAAAAAAAGTAATTATTTCGATGTAAACATTCATATATAACCATGCAGCCTATCAAGTAGCATTTGACTTCTTCGTTTCCTTTCCTGTTTTTAGATGTACATAATGTTAAAAAAAAAAAAAACAAAACTCTGCTACTGAGTCAATACCAAATACCAAAGTTTTTAAACTTAATCACTGTATAAGCCAAACTTCAGTTATCTCGCATGTAAGAAAATGGAAGAAATTTTTCCTATAAATGATGCAGGAGCTAAGTCTACAAAAATGTGAACCTGCGAATTGTTCTTCCCCAGTCCTCTGTCCCCACTACTAGAATTAAGAAACAGAAAACACATCTCGCAGAGAGAACCGAGGAGATACAGAACAATCAGGAGAACTGACACACTGGACCATTTCTCCTTATTACATCCATTTAGCTGAAGAGGCTTAACTAGAAAGGTGTGTTCTACTGCCCTTTACAAATTTCAGAATTATATGTGACAGTTTAGGCAGCTGCAACACGAGCACATTGTACCCGAGAACGCTGAATCAAGAACATTTATCGCCAGGTCTCAGTTCTAGCTTCTCAGTCAATTATACAAAGAGTCAGCTATTAAATATTAATGGCATGCCATTTGCGCTGGAGCTTTTGCAAAGAGCCTCCTGCTACCAATTTTTGTGATGAAAGAAAAACTGTCATTTTCGAAATAAACCCTAGGCCACCAGAATCCCTCAGATGAGCGGTCGAATTCTGTCCTTCCCAGAGGAGGCTGACAGGGCCACCCCATAACCGGGGACGAGGAGGAGGAACATGGGGGAGGGCGGGTCCCCGCAGGTCCCGGGTCTAGGGTCTCCGGTTCCCCTTCTCCCCTAGCCGACCGCGACTGGTCGGGAGGCGGGGCGGGGCCGGCTGTCCGCACAAAGAGAGCCAGCGAGCTAGCCGGCGGACCAGGTACCCCGGGCCGCTGGGGGCCGGGCGGGGCGGGGCGAGGCGGGGAACACTTACCCAGCAGCAGCACGTTCTTCCCCGCAGGGAGCTTGGAGCGCGAGCGGGTGGAGACCTCGCTGAGGATGCAGGACCTAACGGGGAGGAAGGCGCACGGTGAGGCCGGGGCTGGAGGCCGGAGCCACAGCGCGGGAGGGACGGCCCGGGTCTCGGCGCGCCGGGGATGGGGCTGCTGGGAACGCAGTCGCCGGGCCCGGCGCCGAGCTCCAGCGGGCACGGAATCCCGAGGCGTCCGCGCAAGGCCGGGAGAGCCAGCGGGGGCTGAGGGAGGGGTGGGGTCGTTACCAAAGGTTCTGCCCGTCCTCGTCGTCCCCTGCCGCGGCGCCACCGTTGCCTGACGCTATCTCGTTGGCCAAGGGGCCGCCCGTGTAAGTCGAGCCTAATCCTGGCGGAGAAGAACCGAAGGAGCCGACTCGCCCCACGGCCGCCATCTTGGTCGGGAATCACACCACTCCCAGCAAGACTAAATGTGCGAAGCGACTGAAGCGGCAGAGGTGGAGGCGGCGGGAACCCGGATATGGGACGTTATGCGCACGGGAGCGGGGCAGGGCCTGCGGGGGCGGGGCCCCGGGCTGGGCCGGGACTGACGAAGAGAGTGAGGATGGACTGCGCGTGCGCAGCTGTCTGGCCAGCTCGGAGGGGCTGCGCGTGCGCGGGCGCGGGCGCGGGCGCGGGCGGGGGGGTGGGCTTCTCTGCTGCATCTGAAGACCACTGATCTCACCGTTTTGAAGCGCTTTTCTTCCGCTCATCCGCAGCTGGGCTGCAGCAGCGGGGTTGGGTGTGTCAGGTAAACAGTGCCCCCTTCCACCCTTCAGACAGGTCTCCAAACCCTGCAGCCGGCGCGAAATTGCTGCACTGTCATTACCGGCCCACCCACTGCTCTGGCTGCGAGCGGTCCCCCGCCCACATCGGCGCTTCGCAGGCGCCCAGATAGAAATGGGTCGCCCGGCTGGTAAAGAGGCTGCTCTGCAACCCTGGGCTGGAGTATTGCTGGGTTCCTGGATTTCTGGACTTTTGCGTTCTCAAGTGGCGACGTGTCCCTCAACCTGGAACCACATCAGAAGCAGGGTCTCCCATCCCCTAAGCAGCGGTGTGACAAAGTAATTGTTTACCCTGGAAATAGACTGTTATTTTAAAAAAATGTTGTCAGAGCTTGTTTTAATTGTTCTTGATGTTTTTGTATGAGATCCTCCATGTGAGATTTGAAAAGACCCACTACGAGGGTCCTCTAACCGGTCATCAGACATTTATTCCACACGTACTATGTCGAGCATAGTTGGCACTGGGAATACATGGATGGACCTATCCTACCCCTAAAAGAACTCCTTTTCTATGAGAACTTTACTGGGTAAATGTATTTGAATATCTGAACTCCACGTTAAAAAGAGTCAGTGGTTTTAAGGCTCTATTCTAGTACACCTGGAAAAGCATTTGCTTAAAATTGCCTGGGCTTTGTACATTATCACTTCATATTTGAAAAATCTCTTGCTAATATATGGCCTGATCAATGCTGTTATGCTAGTGAGAAAATCCACAGCTGGCCGGGCGCGGTGGCTGAAGCCTGTAATCCCAGCACTTTGGGAGGCTGAGGCGGGTGGATCACGAGGTCAACAGATCGAGACCATCCTGGTCAACATGGTGAAACCCCGTCTCTACTAAAAATACAAAAAATTAGCTGGGCATGGTGGCGCGTGCCTGTAATCCGAGCTACTCAGGAGGCTGAGGCAGAAGAATTGCCTGAACCCAGGAGGCGGAGGTTGCGGTGAGCCGAGTTAGCGCCGTTGCACTCCAGCCTGGGTAACAAGAGCGAAACTCCGTCTCAAAAAAAAAAAATTATCCAGGCGTTGTGGTGTGTGCCTATAGTTCCAGCTACTTGGGAGGCTGAGGTGGGAGGATCACCTGAGCCCAGGAGGTCAAGGCTGCAGTGAACTGCGATCACGCCACTGCAATCTAGCCTGGGTGACAGAGCAAGACCCTGTCACTAAATAAATAAGTAAATAAATAAAATAAAACTTTTGATTTTGTAGTTTATATAGTTAAGAAAGGAACCAGAACCCTCCCCAGTGGTCCTACGTGCTCTGTGGGATCAAGTAGGATGGAGACCCCCCCAGGAGCAGCTGAGTCTTTATGTCACCACTCTAAAGGAGACCTGTATACTGCTTGGCCCTTCTGAAAGCCAGTTTACTCTGTACTTTATTCTTTCAGTCATCTTCTTCCTTAGAGCATGTTCCCCTCGTTTTTGTTTATTTACAGAGTTGTCAGTTCCGTATCATACTTGCTTAGTCTGAGAAGTGTTTACTTTTATAATCGTGTCAGACTTCTAACACCTCATGACTTCCAGATGATCAACTATTCACCTAAGTTGAGTTCAAAGTTGTATCCCTTGTGGTTTTATAATATCCCTGTCCAGCATTCCTGCCATTAAGGTGGCTGACAAAATGGGTCATTTATGAATGCCTACCATGTACCAGGCACTCTGTGTGTTGTGATTTGCAATCCTCATACTTTGTAAGGGTCAGCAAAATCAAGTAACCTACCCCAGGTCACACAGATCAGAAGTTTATAGATAAGCTGAGATTTTTACTATCTAGCCTGTAAAATGACCTAGTCAAATCATGTTAAAATAAATGTCCTGGTAATTTCAGATGCTGTTCTGGTAAATACCTTCTGTGAAAACCTCTGCATTACAAAAATAGGGAAGTTATATATTATGAGGAAGTCTATAAAAGGAAATAATTCAGCAGTCCCTTGGAATTTTTGTTACATAAATGCTGTTTTATAATTGAGCTATTTTCTATACTGTGACTGCTTTTTCTTTATTGCTCAATTTTTTCTTACATCTAAAAGTAATAACCATCTTATTTTTCATTTGCTTAGATTTCCATGTCTTTAGTTGAGTTTCAAATGCCTGTCCCAGCTGTGTAAAACTCCCTGTTAGGTATTCTAACAATTTTACCTTCTTAGAGACACTTTGAAGAACCTTCTGGCCTGCTCCAATCTGAGTTGGTTATTCTGAAACCGAACACACTGCTGCCAACCTCTGATCTTTCACTATTTTTCAGGGGTTTGCCTCAATCTCATGTCTTCTTTCTTCTCATTTTAGTGGAGAACTTCCTCCAATAGTTTTATGGAAAAAAAGGTACATGGGTAAGTCTTAAGAGACCTGTGTATCCAGTCAAGGTCAACCAGAGGAAAAATCACATTCTTAAGGGGGTGTTAGAAGAAAGCTTAATGAAGGGACTGCTTACAAAGGTGTGAACAGTGTGAAGAGATAGGACTAGCAGCATCAGGAAGCCTTAGGCCTGAAAGGGAGAGAGGAAGGAGTGTTTACTAGAATCCGGAGAGAGATGCAGCTTGTAGGAAAGGGTTGCCCACCAAGATCTATAGTCTTCAGTAAAGGAACACAGTATCCATATCTTTCTTTCTACTCCAGGGTCTTCTACCAATGTCGCTCTTTGACCAAAGCCAACCAGAAGCCAGAGGGCAGGAGACCCAAGTGAAGCAATCCGTGCAGGTCTACCTCCCTGAGCACAGGTAGGAATAGAGAAGGATCTCGAGAGGCAAACAAGATATCTAGCACACCTCCTATGTTTGAAAATGCATTTAATCTACCCTCAATAATAGTTTAGCTAAGTGTAGAATTCTTGGGTTACAAGCTATCTTCCCTTAGGTTTTTAAGGCCTTGGCCCCCTTGTCTGCTAGACTCTAGTGTTGCCATTGAGAAATCCAAAGCCATTCTGATTTCTAAACCTTTGTTATGTGTTCCTTTTTTTCTTTTTTTTTCCTTATGGAATCCCTTGCAACGTCCACAGATTCCCACTTCAGGTATTTGCACTTTCATACTCTTCCCTCATGCTAAGTATGGAAGAATAATCCATACTGTTACACTAAAGCATTCTCTATGCACTAGGACCCATCTCCTATCCTCAACTCAAGGACATTATTCCAATAATTCTTCCCTCTTTATATAATCATTTATGATCGTCACTAGATTATTACCATTAACATACAAACATACTATTGATTCTCTAATTTGAAAAAAAGAAAAATTTCTCTGAACCCCAGTCCTTCACCAGCTACTACTACATTTCTTTCCTTTTCTTTGAGACAAGGTCTTCCTCTGTCACCCAGGCTGGAGTGCAGTGGTGCAATCTCGGCTCACTGCAACCTCTACCTCCCAGGTTCAGGCAATTCTTCTGCCTCAACCTTCTGAGTAGCTGGGATTACAGGTGCACACCACCACACCTGGCTAATTTTCGTGTTAGAGATGGGGTTACACCATGGTGGCCAGGCAGGTCTTGAACTCCTGACCACAAGTGATCTGCCCTCCTTGGCCCCCCAAAGTACTGGGATTACAAGCGTGAACTACCACACCGGGTCTGTTTCCTTTCTTTAACAGCAAAACTCTTTAAAAGAATTGTCTCTCTAGGCTATCTGAAATTCCCCTTGCCCTTATGGCTCAATTCAACCAGGCTTTTACCCCCATGACTCTATAGAAACTGCTTTTACTCTTGTCAATGACCCCCTTGTTCCTCGGTACAATGGTACACTCTTTATCCTTGTCTTTCTTGGCCTATAACTACACAGGATACAGTTGCTCGTTCCTTCTGGATATCCTTCATGTGGCTGCCAGGTCACCATGTTCTCGCTGTGTTTTTCCTCCCTTGATAGCTGTTCTTTCCCAGCCCAGCCTCCTTTTCTTGTTACTCATTTTTCTGACTGCTGATGTTGAAGGACCGCGGGACTCAGTCTTTGTTCCTCTGCTCTCTCTACATTCACTCCCTTGGTGATGTCACCCAGTCTGGCTACTTTAAATTCCATCTCTATGATAAAGACTTCTATTTATTGCTCCAGCCCAGAGCTCCATCTGGAACTCCAAGTTAATATAGCCAACAGCCTATTCCACATCTCTGCTTCAGTGTCTGAAAGATAGCTCACACTCAACATGCCCCAAACTGAACTTCTGTTCTGTAGGAACATGTCTTCTACCTATGGCCTTCCCCATTAGGTAGCCACTCCTCGTTGCCTTGTTGGTTAGGCCCAAAATCTGAGTCACGCTTGACCTTTCTATTTCTCTCACACCACACATTGAAACCATGAGAAATCCTGTTGTCTCTACCTTCAAAATATACCCACAATCCAACTTATTACTGTACTTCCTCTGACACCCTTTGGTTTGTGCTATCGTTTCTTGCCTGAAGGACTGTAAAACGCTCTTCAGCATGACATCTAGAGTGATCCTTTAAGAATATAGGAGTGAGTAAGGGGCAGTGCAGTGACTCACACCTGTAATCCCAGCACTTTGGGAGGCCAAGGCAGGCAGATTATGAGGTCAAGAGATTGAGACCATCCTGGCCAACGTGGTGAAACCCGTCTCTACTAAAAATACAAAAATTAGTTGGGCGTGGTGGCGCGAGCCTATAGTCCCAGCTACTTGGGAGGCTGAAGCAGGAGAATCGCTTGAACCCAGGAGGCAAAGTTTGCAGCTAGCCGAGATTGTGCCCCAGCACTACAGCCTGGTGACAGAGCGAGACTCTCGTCTCAAAAAAAAGAATATAAGTGAGACCATGTCACTTCTATGCTCGAAACCCGACAGTGGCTCCTAATTTTACTCGGAGGAAAAGCCAAAGACCTTACAATGACCCATAAGGGCATGAAGGATCTGGCCCCACCATCTCTCTGACCTTCTCCCCTCCACTCTTCCCTTCAATTTCCCCCTTTCAGCCGCATGAGCCCTGCTGCTATTTCTTGAATAATGTTGTGTGTTCCTTTGCTTTGAGGCCTTTGTTCTAGCCATTCTTTCTGCTTTGAAGGAGGTGAGGAGCTGTCCACGCCAGCGTCTTCCCCCAGGTAGCCCGTTGGCCAACTCGTCTTCTCCTGCGGTGAGTGTGCTCCGTTCTCAGCTTCTCAGTGAGGTCTATCCTGACCACTCCATTTAACATTGCAGCCTGGCCCTTCACCTCCCAAATGCCAGATTCTCCTTACCTTGCTCACCCTTTTGTTTTCCATAGCAGTTATTACCATGTAACATAGCATAGGATACTTGTTCATTAGAACTCAAGCTCTGTGAGGGCGAGGATCTTTATGTTCTTTAGTCACGTACCCCAAGCACTTAGCACCTGGAGTTTAGCAGGCCTTCTGTAAAGATTTGCTGAAGGTATGAATAAATGAATGAATCTGCTCCTTGTTACCAGTGTTCCAAAATTTCACAATGGGGGTGTGTGTGTGTGGGCATGTGTGCACGTGCTTGTGTGTGTGTGTGTGTGTTTAAGAGAAGAGGATAAAAATTCTTCATTCCAACACTTGAAAGCAGGAGCTCTCTTTTATGATAGTTTAACCAGTGACTTAATTTATTTAGAGACATGGTTTTGCTCTGTTGCTCAGGCTGGAGTGAAGTGGGATAATCAGGGCTCACTGTAACTTCGAGCCCCTGGGCTTAAGTGAACCTCCTGCCTCAGCCTCCCGAGTAGCTAGGACTATACCTGTGTGCCACCATGTTCTAGCTAATTTTTTTTTTTTTTTTTTTTTTTTGAGACAAGGTCTCACTCTATCATCCAGGCTGGAATGTGGTAAGCTGATCTCAGCTCACTGCAACCTCAACCTCCTGGACTCAAGTGATCCTCCCACCTCAGCCTCCTGAGTAACTTGGACTACAGGTGCACACCACCATGCCCATCTGATTTTCAAATTTTTTATAGAGACAAGATTTTGCTTTGTTACCCAGGCTGATTTTTAAAATTTTTGGTAGAGGCAAGATCTCACTACGTTGCCGAGGCCAGTCTCAAAAACTCCTGGGCTCAAGCCAACTTCCTGCCTCAGCCTCTCAAAGCACTGAGATTATAGACAAGAGCCATTGCACCCAGCCTTAACCATTTTAAAAATATAAATTATTTAAAAGAATATTACATACCCCACTCCTTTCCTATTTTACCAAGTTATATAAATAGAGATTTATGTTCCCAGAAGGCCCTTGGCTTCCTTAGGCTCATCAGTAATACTACCGTGTTATATCTGGGAAGTGCTCAGATCCTCCTGGGATTCCCTGGGTATATCCCAGATGGTTCTGCCTTTTGGTTTGGTTTCTAATTCAGCTGAACTTCAGGGCCTGTAGACGGGAAATGGAACACTAGCCAAAAGAGAGACAGCTCCTCTCTCCTCGCTTCTCTTCTCTCCTCTCTCCCTGTCGACCAGCTCCCTCTGCAAACTCATCAGCTTTCTCAAGGTCCCACTGGGTATTTCTCTATCTAAAGAAAAGTGATCACTGGATAGACACAAGAGCTCTGCAGAAAACTAGTTTGACTGGGCGGGGAGCTTTCTGTAGGTCTCGAGGTGGGGGCTACAGAACCACTTCTTTCTTTTGGGGTTGCCTCCTGTGTTTGGGAACCAGAACAAGGCGGCTACCACGTGGGCTGCTTCCTATTGTTTCAGTTCCACAGGCTGCCACCAGCAGGTTTTCAGATAAAATCTGCTTCACCTGTGGCGCCAAATGCTGGCAGTCACAGCTGATACAAATGCTGGCTAAAAAGCCAAAATCAAAAGGAAAAGGAAGTAAGCAAGATGAGTGGACGCTTAAAGTTTGACTCTATAAACAACTCAAATGACAGTATTGAAAAGGACTAAGGATTTCAGAGTTTAAATAGGCCCATCCTCTCCACAACATATGAATCTCTTTTTTTTTTTTGTAACATTCCTGACATTTGAGACAAACTGGTGATGCTAGAATTGGCAGAGTCCTTGCTTGCCATCTCTCCCAGCAGACCCCACCAGGGATCCAGCTGGACAGAGCCGACACCCACAGTTGCTTATGTTTGCTTTCCTTTGAGTCATGTTTATCTCATTCTAAGTACCTCCTTAGAATGAATGAAATGATGGGTATCTAATTCATTTTGTAATCAGCAGCCCCTCTAATTACAGACCTAACTTTTTTCTTGCTTCTCACATAGGAATTTTTATCAAGTGAACCTTCACAGAATGTCGTATCTTAGCACAAACAAAGAGATGGAGAAATACCTAAGAGAAAGTAGAAATAGGCTCTCTTGGTGTTTTGTTTTTTTTTTTTTCCCCGTAGAAAACCCCAGAAGGGGCCAGGCACAGTGGCTTTCACCTGTAATCCCAGCACTTTGGGAGGCAGAGGAGGGCAGTTCACTTGTGGCCAGGAGTTCAAGACCAGCCTGGCCAACATTATGAACTCCCCATCTCCACAAACAATACAAAAATTAGCCATACGTGGTGGTGCATGCCTGTAATCCCAGCTACTTGGGAGGCTGAGGCAGGAGAATCGCTTGAGTCCGGGAGGTGGAGGCTGCAGTGAGCCAAGATCAAACCACTGCACTCCAGCCTGGGCGACAAAGCGAGACTCCACCTCAAAAACAAACAAAACTTTTATTTTTACATCTAATGTGAAATCCCTGCTTTCTTAAAAAAAAAAAAGTGTGTGTGTGTGCACGAGTGTGTGCATGCGCAAGTAAACTTTAGGATTAAATTTTACAAAGGAACTTTTTGTTTGTGTAAGATGGACTGTCACTCTTGTCATCCAGGCTGGAGTGCAATGGCTCAATCTCAGCTCACTGCAACCTCCGCCTCCCAAGTTCAGGCGATTCTCCTGCCTCAGCTTCCCAAGTAACTAGGATTACAGGCATGCATCACCATACCTGGCTAATTTTTTTTTTGTTTTTAGTAGAGACAGGGTTTTGCCATGTTAGCCAGGTTGGTCTCGAGCTCCTGACCTCAGGCGATACACCCACCTCCGCCTCCCAAAGTGCTGGGATTACAGGTGTGAGTCACCATGCCTGGGCAATAAATTGTTTTTCATGGCTTAGAAACGTATCACTGAGAAATAACCCTCTCTGGATTTTTTTTTTAATTCCAGGATAAGGTAATAGTGGAATTGCCTTTCATTTCAGACTGAGCCCCTCACCACAATATCATATTCATTCTTGGAAAGTGGGTGATGAATGGAAGGACAGTAACCTATAAAATCAACTCATATTCACAGCAGCTTGAGTGGACAATAAGGGAGATGCACAGGGAAACAGAGACTTATCTTTTAGGCTGGAGGCATTCTTCATCTAAGTGTTTCAATTATCTACTTACACATTTTTCAATATTGAACAGTTAGGATTTTTAGGGTGCTTCGTTGTCATTATTTAATCTATTCTTTGTCAATGAAAAGAGGAAAGAAAAAGGTCCACTGACTAATTTTTTTTTTGGAGGATCTAATTCTCTTGTAATCAAATACTCTGAAGTTCAAGTCCATTACCTTTATTTGAGACAGTGATTTTAACGCCAGTTAGTTCTTAGATTTCCAGTGTTACACTCTACCACCCTCTTTGCTTCTAAAGGAGAAGATATTTAATAACTAATGTTATAGATTGAGATCTGTCAACACTAGATCACAAAGGTAATTAAGTTTTTCTTCTTTGGAGGCTCTGAATTAGGCAAAATGGGAAAAAAAATCATAATTCTCTGGTATTTTTAGAAATGTGCTATCTTTTATAGTTGTAGGTGATTCATATTCATACCAATTTAGTCTACTTTAGTCTAGAGCCAATTATGACTTCTTGTTGCTCTTACTAAAAGTAAGCCTCGAATTATAGTCTATGATATTCTCCACCAAGCAAAACATTACGCGTGTTTCTTTTTTCCTCACATGGGAATGAGGATGAAAGAGTTTCGCAGTGGGAATTTTTTTATAAGCAAAGAGAATCCATTCTTTTACACCATACAGTATTAAAAACTTGTTTATTTGAAGCTATTGAAGGAGATTTTAAGGATCCTAAACTTTTTACTACTGGAAACAAAAAGTTAAAGTTGCCTAGTATTGTGAAAGTGGAATCCAGAAGCACTTTGTGTTTTCTGATCCTTCCTTAATAAATCCAGGATTGTTGTGAGGGGTCTACTTCATCCTGTATTCAGTTCACCTATTGGTGAATGAGGAATATCCAGATCAACTACTAGAATTTATATGTATATATATAAATATATATTGTTAGATGAAGTTTCGTTCTCATTGCCCGGGCTGGAGTGCAGTGGTGCTATCTTAGCTCACTGTAACCTCCACCTTCCAGGTTCAAGTGATTCTCCTGCCTCAGCCTACCAAGTAGCTGGGATTATAGGCGCCTGCCACGATGCCCAGCTAATTTTTGTATTTTTAGTAGAGACAGGGTTTCATCATGTTGGCCAGGCTGGTCTTGAACTCCTGGCCTCCTGTGACATGCCAGTCTCTGCCTCCCAAAGTGCTGGGATTACAGGTGTGAGCAACCACGCCCAGCTCGCGCTCTCTTGCTTGCTCTCTGTGTGTGTGTGTGTGTGTGTGTGTATGTGTGTGTTTGTGTATGTATTTTTTAAAAATATATATATTTTAGGCCAGACACAGTGGCTCATGCCTGTAATCCCAGCACTATGGGAGGCAGAGACTGGCACATCACATGAGGCCAGTAGTTCGAGACCAGCCTGGCCAACATAATGAAACCCTGTCTTTAGTAAAAATACAAAAATTAGCTGGGCATGGTGGCATGCATCTGTGGTCCCAGCTACTCAGGAGACTGAGGCAGGAGGATCACTTGAACCTGGGAGGCCGTGAGCTGAGATCAGGCAGTGGTACAATCATGGCTCATCACAGCCTCAACTTTCCCAGTTCAAACAATCCTCCCACGTCAGCCTCCGCAGTTGCTGGGAATATAGGCGCGCCTCACCACATTCCACTAATTTTTGTATTTTTAGTAGAGAGGGTTTCACCGTGTTGCTCAGACTGGTCTTGAACTCCGGGCTCAAGTAATCTGCCTGCTTTGGCCTCTTAAAGTGCCCGGATTACAGGCATGAGCCACCATGCCAGCCTTGATGTATTCTTATTTGGATACACTGGCTCTAGTTTAAGAAACATTGGAGGTATGAACTCATGGTTTAAAGATTCGTCTAAAGTAGCAGCTCTATTATATTGAGTTCGACTGTACTCCTCATCAAAGGTAAGTCTTGAATCGAATTATGTTAACGTTAAATTGAGGAACATGGCAGTTAATTTGCATTATTTAGATGAAACAAAATGTTCGGATTTAATTTTTTTTTTTTTTTTTTGAGACGGAGTTTCGCTCTTGTTATCCAGGCTGGAGTGCAATGGTGTGATCTCGGCTCACCGCAACCTCCGCCTCCTGGGTTCAGCCTCCCGAATAGCTGGGATTACAGGCACGCGCCACCATGCCCAGCTAATTTTTTGTATTTTGGTAGAGACGGGGTTTCACCATGTTGACCAGGATGGTCTTGATCTCTTGACCTTGTGATCCACCCGCCTCAGCCTCCCAAAGTGCTGGGATTACAGGCTTGAGCCACCGTGCCCGGCCCTCGGATTTAATTTTTGTAGTAAGGGTAATGGGTTATACAGTCCGTGCTCCACAATCAGACAAAGGTGAGTTCAGATTTAGATTCTTGCCACTTATTAGCTCTGTGCCATTGGAGTTGCTTAAATGTTAAAGCCGGTTTCCTCAACTCTAATAGGGTTCTTCTGAGGAATAAACAAGCAATCACACAAATCTGACACATAGTGGGAACTCAATAAATGTTAGCAGAAATGTTTATTTTTATTTTTATTTGAGATAAATTTATAAGGCTACTTTGTAGTGCACAGTTTCTCAGTTTTAAATGGTTTAAATGTGCACACAGATACCTGGGAACCTAATTAAAATGCAGATTCTGGTCAGGTGCGGTGGCTCATCCCTGTAATCCCAGTCCTTTGGGAGGCTGAGGTGGGTGGATCACTTGAGGTCAAGGGTTCAACACCAGCCTGGCCAACATAGCGAAATCCCATCTCTACTAAAATACAAAAATTAGCCTAGCACAGTGGCACACACCTGTAGTCACAGCTACTCAGGAGGCTGAAACAGAAGAATTGCTTGAACCAGGGAGGTGGAGATTGGTTGCAGTGAGCCAAGGTCCTGCCACTGCACCCAGCTTTTTTAAGACGGAGCAAGACTCTGTCTTTTTAAAAAAAAAAAAAATGCAGATTCTGATTCAGTTGGACTGGGTGGGGCCTGAGGTTGTCCATCTCTAACAAGCCTCCAGGTGGACATTCATATCACTGAATGCAGAACACAGTTACACAATAGAAAGAACATGAGCTTTGGATTTATCCTTCTGTGAACTTCCTCCTCTCTAAAAGGGAGATAATAATATCTATTTCTAATTAATTCGAGTTTTATTAGATAAAAAATAGTATACTAAAATAGTACCTGGCATACTGTAGATGCTTAACAAACATAAGTTCAGGCCAGGCATGGTGGCTCACACCTGTAATCCCAGTGGGTTGGGAGGCTGAGGCAGGTGGATCATCTGAGGTCAGGAATTCAAGACCAGGCTGGCCAACATGGTGAAGCCCCATCTCTACTAAAAATACAAAAAAATTAACTGGCCGTGGTGATATGCGCTTATAATCTCAACTACTAAGGAGCCTGAGGCAGGAGAACCGCTTGAACCTGGGAGGTGGAGGTTGCAGTGAGCCAAGATAGCACCACTGCACTCCAGCCTGAGCGACAGACGGATACGCCTCAAAAAAAAAAAAAAAAAAAAAGATAGATATTCAGTTTTTCTGTAAGAAATGTTTTATTGGTCTGTCTAGTATGGGGGCTGTGATAATTTCCATTCCTAAAAGAATTGAAAATTCCAATTTCCTTTGAAAACTTCTTAGAATTCTATCTTGAAGAAATCAGCATCAACCTTGGTTTAAAAGTTTGTCGTTGTATAGCAAGCAAATCAATTCAGACCAGACGGCATGCAAACAGATTGGGGAAATGCACCAGGCAAGCAATGGGACTTGGAGTCAGAGTGGGTAGGATTTCGGCAGGCATGGATTACTGAGAAAAGGAGCTAATTTTGAAGCATTTTATTTTACTATTATTTTCTTCTACATTTTTTATTATGAAAAATTTCAAACATAAAAGTACAGAGGGTGATATAATGAACCCCACACACCCATCATTCAGCTTCGGTAGTTATCAATCAGCACATGGCAAATCTTTAGTTTATCTTCCTCTGTCTTCCTCCATCTCTGAATTATTTTAAAGCAAATTTCAAACATATTATTTCATCTATAAATATTGCAATGCATATCTTTAAAAAATAAGGACTCTGGCCGGGCACAGTGGCTCACGCCTGTAATCCTAGCACTTTGGGAGGGCAAGGCAGGTAGATCACAGGATCAGGAGATTGAGACCAGCCTGGCCAATATGGTAAAACCCCATCTCTATTAAAAATACAAAAAATTAGCCTGGCATGGTGGCACATGCCTGTAGTCCCAGTTACTTGGGAGGCTGAGACAGAAGAATTGCTTGAACCTGGGAGGCAGAGGTTGCAGTGAGCCTAGATTGCACCACTGCACTTTAGCCTGGGTGACAAAGCGAGACAATGTCTCAAAAACAAAAAAAGACTCTTTTCCTTTAAAAAAACAACCATAATACCATTATAATAATTCATTCAAAAATGTAACATTGAATTTATAGATTCAATCAGCCCCAGCTGATTCCTAATTGGTCTGCCAACTCTAGATCTCTATTACCTCCTTAAAATTGTCCCCTGCATTCTGAGCCCTCTCAGCTTAATTATCTCTGACAGAAATAAACTGCCTTTAACTTTTGCCAGGAGCAGGGTACCCCGGGCAAGCTGATCTGAGTTCTGGGCTCTCACAAAGTGCTTAGGGTTCTAGGGTCTCATTAAACACTAGAGCTGGAAGGGACTTACTAGTTCAGCTGCTAGAAAAAAGGGGCAAGAGTGTTAAATAGCTTGCTCTGCCTCGTAATTAACTTAAAACCTCTCAAAATAAAGGCAAATTATTATGTGTCTAACCTGATCTTTCTGTGTAGTAAAATTTCAACCAAGGAGTGGAGTTCCTTATTTTATATTTGGTTATCCTTTCTTAAGTTATCTCATTGAAATCCTTCTTGAACCCATATAAAATTTCCATTCCAATTTTTATTTTATGTTGTGCTATAGCTGGCCTAGAGTTAGAGCCTGAACAACACCATTTTATACAAGACAAAGCTGTTTTTCAGAAATTAGTTGTAACGACTGCCCCGTTCTCCTCACAATAACTGCTGGCCTTGGCTTCTGTAAATAAAACTGCTGCTTACCTTTTCTTATCAGTAACTGCCCGAATTGCTGGCCTTTGCTTACCGGTAGTGACCAGAGTAAGCAGCCCAAGCTAATTCCATCCTGGCCCCTGAGACTTGTAATAAGTAACTAAGATCTGGGGATCCCACCACTGCCCAGACGATGTGTAAACTAACGCTTATCTTGACTTCTGTAAACCACTTAGGTAACAATCCAAGTGACAACAAGTCCCGTAGCCCTTGGAAATGTCTGGAGACCCGCTCCCTTCTCTCTGCCCGGGAGGTGATTTACGGAATCCCCTGGCCCTCAGAATGTCCGAATCCCTTCACCCCCACCCTGCCCCACACCCTCACCCCGGAGGTGGTTTACCGGCATAAAAAGGTCTTGTAGGGCCGGGCGCGGTGGCTCACGCCTGTAATCCCAGCACTTTGGGAGGCCGAGACGGGTGGATCACAAGGTCAAGAGATTGAGACCATCCAGGTCAACATGGTGAAACCCCGTCTCTACTAAAAATACAAAAAAATTAGCTGGGCATGGTGGCGCATGCCTGTAATCCCAGCTACTCGGGAGGCTGAGGCAGGAGAATTGCCTGAGCCCAGGAGGCGGAGGTTGCGGTGAGCCGAGATTGCGCCATTGCACTCCAGCCTGGGTAACAAGAGCCGAAACTCCGTCTCAAAAAAAAAAAAAAAAAAAAGGTCTTGTAACCCTCCTTTCGGGGCCACGGGTTGGAGAGACGTGAGTCCTCTGTGGTCACCGGCAATAAAGACCCTGCAATTTGGCATATTTTTGTCTTGGTGTTAATTTTATACTTGATACAAATACTTTGATGTATTTATTTTTTGAGACAGGGTCTTCTTGTTCTTGCCTGGGCCAGAGTGCTGTGATTCGATCTCTGCTCACTACGACCTCTGCCTCCCGAGCTCAAGCCATCCTCCCACCTCAGCCTCTCAAGTAGCTGGGACCCACCATGCCTGGCCAATTTATGCATTTTTAGTACAGACAGGGTTTTACCATGTTGCCCAGGCTGGTCTAGAACTCCTAAGCTCAAGCCGTCCTCCCCTCGGCCTCCCAAAGTGCTGGGATTATAGTTGTGAGCCACTGAATCCCGCCTCAATTTTTAATTATAAAATATTTCACATATGCAAATACTAAAAATAAGGTAATATAATACCTATTAATATATTAATGTACACATTATACAAAGTAAATGTAATATCACTATAGAAAATTTTTCCTCTTAATTTTTTTTTAATTGAGGGTACTAGTCTGCTACCTCTTAAATTTTTTTTTTTTTTTTTAAAGACGGGGTTTCACCATGTTGGTCAGGCTGGTCTTGAACTCCCGACCTCAGGTGATCTGCCTGCCTTGGCCTCCAGAGTGCTTGGATTACAGGTGTGAGCCACCACACCAGCCTAAAATTTTTTAAAGAAAGCTCACTCTTCTCCCATTCTTTTCCAATCCCTTCTTCCTTAGAGATAATCTTTATCTTAAAAATAGATGAATTTCATTCTCATGCAGATATAGCTTTATACATTCAATTGTTTTGCATGTTTTTAATTTTCACATGTAGAATACACTGTATGTGCATTTTATAAATTGCCTTTTTCACTCTATGTTTTCACGACTGAGCCATATGGATATATAGGTCAATCATAAATCATTCATTTTAATTGCTATCTGGAATTCTGTATGAATAAACCGCAGCTTATTTAATCTACTTTCCTCCTATAGGAATAATTAGGTTGTTCTATTAGACAATTCTGTTAGACTTATCACTAGGTATTCTGTACATTTTGCACCTAGGCTAAATGGCATCTTTGCAAATATCACATACTTGTTGATTGTTGGTGCAACCAACATGCTATTGATGTTTGTATATTGATCTTATATCTGTTGATTTTGCTCAACTGTTTTATTCATTCCAAAAGCTTATCTCTAAGTAGATTTTCTTATGGGGGAATGGTGATCAACTTACTGAGCTCACCATTTTCTTAATATTTTTTACTAAAACAAGATAGAGAAATTCGGATGCATTCTAGAATTCTCGGAGAAGGGACGACTTGAAAGCTAGAGTAACAGAGAGGCTGGTGGGACTACTGCTTTTGAAAGAAGCAGCCACAGCTGGGGGACTGCTCACTGAAAGCTTCATGTACAGAGAACATAAGGGCTTTTGAAATGGAGTAACATGAAGAACTAGCTGGGGGCCCCATGAGATGGCAGATGGCAGCATATTCTGTAATGTGACCCCCTCCTCTGTCTTCATGGTTTTAGTAAAAATGGAAAATGGTCATATGCTTGGTCTCAATGAGCTTTTTTCAGAAACTATAAGGAGATGTAGCTCTGTATATAACGTACATGATGCAAGGATCACAGAACTGCAGTCGCCTTGTAACCACCAGGGCCAGGATCCAAACAAGCCTAAGAAAGTGGATTCCAAGATCCTGAATAGGGACTGATCTGCTCAGGCTTGGGAAGTGGGATTCAAACCAAGTTTCCTAAATTTTAAGGGCAGGAAATCTCCCAAATGATATTTGGGTTTTCATCAACAGCCATCTGATTTGTATGCTTCCTTTTTTTTTTCCAGACAGAGTCTTGCTCTGTCGCCCAGGCTGGAGTGCAGTGGCATGATCTCAGCTCACTGCAAACTCCGCCTCTATTCTCCTGCCTTAGCCCCCTGAGTAGCTGGGACTACAGGCATATGCCGCCACACCCTGCTAATTTTTGTATTATTAGTAGAGATGGGGTTTTCCGTATTGACTGGGCTGGTCTTGGACTCCTGACCTCATGATCCACCCTCCTTGGCCTCGCAAAGTGCTGGGATTACAGGCGTGAGCCACCATGCCTGGCCTGATTTATATGCTTCCTATGTGGATTATACAATGTAAAAGGACAAGGTTCCATTTTGTTTTGTTTTTGGAGACAGTCTCGCTGGAGACTCTGCTGTAATTCTAGCACTTTGGGAAGCCTAGGCAGGTAGATAACTTGAGGCCAGGAGTTCAAGACCAGCCTGGCCAACGTGGTGAAACCCCGTCTCTACTAAAAATATAAAAATTAGCCTGGCATGGTGGTGCACACTCATAATTCCAGCTACTCAGGAGGCTGAGGCACAAGAATCGCATGAACCTGGGAGGCAGAAGTTGCGGTGAGCCAAGATTGCACCACTGCACTCCAGCCTGGGTGATAGAGTGAGACTCTGTCAAAAAAAAAAAAAAAGAGGTGGCAGATACAAATGTTTTCTCCTTTGAAGTTTTGCATAGAACAGTTTCTACGTGCCTAGTCCTGGCATTTGGGAAATTAGAGAAGTTCTTTATCATGTTAGAGAAGCTCTTCATGCAGCTTCCATAGCACTTGCTGCAATAGTGCTGCATAACAAGGCATCCCAAAACTTGGTGGCATACAACACTAAGCATATCTTTATTGCTGTGCATCTGCAGGTCAGCTGGAATGGTCTCCAGACTAAGGATCTGTGCCATGAGATTTGTTCTGTGGTCCAAGCTGAGGGCCAATGACTGCCTGGGGCATGTTTTTCTCCTAGTGGAGGTCAGAAGCTCCCAGAGGCCTGGGTGCAGAACTGACACACTGTCAACTCCATCCACCTATCATTGGCCACGGTAGGCCACGTGGCCAAGCCCAACATTCATGGGAGAAGGAAGTACTATTTCCCCACGTAAGTCAAGTAGGAAAGAGAAGGAATATACTAAACAAAAAGCTCACTTTTATGCTTTCTGTCTATGACTTTATAATTTTGATCATGTTTCCTTTACTTGTTTAGAAGGAAAAATTCTAATCCCTTTCTTCTCCCCATTTCTGCTTGGCTTTTGTCTCTGGTCTCCTCACGTGTTAATGTGAACCCTTTCGTTGGCCTTCTTGCTTATATGTCCATATTAAACTGCTCCGCTTCAGGGAAAAGTTGGAAATGGATTCTGATATCCTTTTCTGGGACCAAGATGAATAAATGAAGTGAAAGGAAACCAATATTTTTGGAGTTAGTTACATGCCAAGCATCAGGCCAGGTATTCTTTATACCATGTTAGGCATTCTTCATGCACAGTCTCTTTCCATCCTGATAAACTCAAATGCCTCTAGGAACTAGGTAGGCAAATGAATGAGTGAATGGGATATGATTTTCTCGCTTCATACATCACTGCATTTCACCGCAGTACCACTTATTCCCAATCGAAAGGAACTCTTGTTGAAATGTAAGCCCCGTTTTTCAGTTAATGATTTTTTCAGCAGGCATCTTTTCTCTATCACAGCTCTTCATATGGACCACTTCAGAATAGCATGTTACATTGTCTTTTTTGATATAGACTTATTTTGCTAGTTAAACATTTAGAAATATTCTTTTCCAAGAAGAAAAAAAAAAAGGAAATATTCTTTTCCAGATGGTGCGATGGCTCACACCCGTAATCTCAGCACTTTGGGAGGCTGAGACAGGTGGATTGTCTGAGGTCAGGAGTTCAAGACCAGCCTGGCCAACATAGTGAAACCCCATCTCTACTAAAAATACAAAAAATTAGCTGGGCGTGGTGGTGGGCACCTGTAATCCCAGCTACCCAGAAGGCTGAGGCAGGAGAATCCTTTGAACCCAGGAGGCAGAGGTTGTAGTGAGCCAAGATTGTGCTGTTGCACTCCAGCCTGGGCAACAAGAGCGAAACTCTGTCTGGGGGGAAAAAAAAGGAAATATTCTTTTCCATAAAGAACACTGCTTTCACATAATTTTCTTTAGGTACATATTCCTCATTTTTTATATTTCAATTTCCCACTTTTGTTAGAAATATGTATAAAGAGATAGTTCACTTTCCTCTTGATTATAAGAAAACAGCTACACAGTAGTGATGACCAATGGCACCTGACACTCAGCTGTATTGTCGGGGGTTTATCCTGGGAATGGTGGGCACCATGGTGAAGTAGAGAATGCATATCCAACCTACGTGGGGAAGCATCACTCAGCTCCAGGCAGTTATGGCCAGTTAGGAATTCAAGCCCAGCATTGCTAGATCTTCTCTTTCTCAAGACAAGTCAGGAATCCAGGGTTTTTTTTCACCTAAAATTTCCTAATTTTTAAGTATCACCAACATTTAAATGTCGGGACAGACTAGGCTCTGTTGTGTAACGTATCATTGGTTCTGCACGTGATGCCAAACATGATGCAGGTCAGTAACACTGTTTCAATGGGCAACTCAGGAAACCAGAATTCCTTTATTATGTGATGCTGCAGTCTCAACACGTGGTTTCCAAGGTCATCACCACAGAGGAAGAAAGGGGGAAAATGCACACCAGCACTTAAGTGCTTTGGCCTAGAAATGACACACATCATTTAAACTCACAGTCTATTGATCAGGTGGAGTTGCTTGATTCCAAAGAATGCAGGGAAATGAACAGGAGCAGTTGGACATTTGATGACCACTAACTGCTTCTACCATAGCAATTAATTCAAAGCAAACAAACAAACAGACAAACCAGCAAAATCTCTGAGCATATCAAACAAAATACAAGTAGTCTAGACCCAATCCAGGTGCTGTTACTAGAGTAATTATTTTATAATTGAAAAAAAATTGAAGCTCGACAAGATTAAGTACCTTGCCCAAGCTACACAGTTAATGAGTGGCACAGTAAGACCATATTCTTTTTCCACATCATGCTAATAATGGGTACTTTTTTTTTTTTTGAGATGGAGTTTCTCTCTTGTTGCCCAGGCTGGAGTGCAATTGTGGGATCTTGGCTCAGTGTAAGCTCCACCTTCCGGGTTCAAGAGATTCTCCTGCCTTAGCCTCCCAGGCAGCTGGGATGACAGGCATGTGCCACTGTGCCTGGCTAATTTTGTATTTTTAGTAGAAACGGGGTTTCTCCATGTTGGTCAGGCTGGTCTTGGACTCCTGACCTCAGGCGATCCACCCACCTCAGCCTTACAAAGTCTTGGGATTATAGGCGTGAGCCACAGAGCCTGGCCTAATAATGGGTACTTTTTAACTAACTAAATGATACAGATGGACACCCATGCTCCTAAGCACCCCCTTAGAACTATTTCATGGCTGTTATTAAGTAAAATCTCACAATTAAACACAAACTCTATTAACTAATATTTGGTCTATAGACTTTGGTGTAGTCCAGTGGTTCTTCAACTTGAATGAGCATCAGAAACAACTGGAGAGTTCGTTCCCCTGGTGGAGGTCAGAATAACTGGAGGGTTTGTTCCAACACAGATCGTGGAGTCCCTCCCGCCCCCAGAGTTTCTAAGTCATTAGGTCTGGGGTGAGTGGGTGGGTAAGATTTTGCATTTCTAATGAATTCATATGTGATGCTGATGCTGCTGGTCTGGGTGGGCACCCTCTCAGAGCCACTGGACTAGTGTTAGGTCCGGAATCCTAGACTTAGCGCAGACAACAAACTGGTGTGAATGGGCCATTTAACCTCTGAGTTTCCATTGCCTCATCAGTACAATAAGCGTTTTGGACCAGTTCTACTGTTATATGAGTCTATGATTAAAAACTGTCTTCAAACAAATATTAAAATACCTTGGCAAGGGACATATATTAGCTGGGGAGGGGCATGAGGAGGAGGCTTCTGCGATGGAAATGTTCTAGTTCTTGGTCTGGATGGTTGTTGTATATGTGTACCTAGGTCAAAATGTATCAAGCTGTGCATTTAAGATTAATGTACGTTATATAATTTAATATATGTATGTGAACTTCAATTAAAAGATTAAAAAATGCTTCTTGCCAAAAATTGAATTTAAATGTTTGTATATTCTAATTTTTATTTTTAGTGTGACACAGCTAATATAATTTTTTTATTGCTTGCATAAATAATATCCACCAATGTCACTCTAAGTAATGGGAAAAATAAGGCTTTAGCATCCATACATTTGTACAGCTAGCGGAGTGTAAAACTGCAGCCAGTATGAACTTAGCTCTTTATTCTGCTCACCTGGAGAGACCAAGGCAGTAAGGAATCTGGAAGCATTGCAGAGGTGGAAATGGGAGAGCATATTCTTCTGTGTTTCATAAATTCAACCTGGATGTCACAAAAACAGTTGGTTCCCAAGTGAGCTGGGTGAATATTGTTGCAACTTCATTAAGATACAACGAATTTTGCCTGTTCCCAAATAAGGGAGAGAAGAATCACGTGTGCATTTGCATTGACTCAATTGAATGCATTGGTCCAAAAAATAAAACACAAAAAAAGAACCAGAAGAATATTAAATAGTACAGTCTTATATTCTGGACCAAAAGCATATGTCCTGGAACGAGAGAGATGTGGGAGATGTGAATCTGCAGATCCCTAAGTCAATCTCAGTCCTGGACTTTCAGTAAAGTGCTGGAGCTAAAGAGTACATCTCTTCCCAATTCTGTGTTCACTTACATTATGTTGGGAGCTTCAATCTGGCCATTGGGGAAATTTACACCATGGATATCAGCAAATGCTACAAATCAGGATGCTTTATTTCAGGGAGGCAGCCTACCAGCACATTACTGCTCACCTACTTCTTGTGGTGGAGACATGTTGATCATATTGAATATGCTGTTAGCATATAAAGGTATGGATTTTTTTCATACAACATGAAGTCTAACTGTAACTATAACAGGCATTTCTGCTGCAGCTACCAAATTATAATCACAAGGTAGCTGAATGAGCAGAGAGTTAGATATGTGATTTATTTTTTTATTTTTTTTGAGACGGAGTTTCACTCTTGTTACCCAGGCTGGAGTGCAATGGCACGATCTCGGCTCACCACAACCTCCGCCTCCTGGGTTCAGGCAATTCTCCTGCCTCAGCCTCCTGAGTAGCTGGGATTACAGGCACACACCACCGTGCCCAGCTAATTTTTTGTATTTTTAGTAGAGACGGGGTTTCACCATGTTGACCAGGATGGTCTCGATCTGTTGACCTCGTGATCCACCCGCCTCGGCCTCCCAAAGTTGTTAGGCTGAGCTTCTCAAACTTCAGACACAGTTTGGCTCAAACAGTTAAGGCTGACCTTCTCAAACTTCAGTGTGCACATGAATCACCAGGGATCGTGTAAAAATGCAGATAATGGTTCAGAATATCAGAGGTCAGGACTGAGATTCTGCATTTCTAACAAGTTCTCAGATGATAATGCTGGTCTGTGGATCACATTTTGAGTGGAAGGACCTACGATGTCATACCTAACATTATTGGTATTTTCTGTAACAATCAGAGGAAAACAGCTAATGCAGCCAGAGTACCGCATTGGGATCCATGGGCTAGGGGTGCTTTGGGTGCCTGGATTTGGAGTAAGTGGACACTAGCTAAAGTTCAACGCTACAATTTGCTCTAACTGAACCTCAAGCCCCTGAGCTTGAGAATGAGAATCAAGCTAAAGGGGAAACCCCTTATAAAGCCATCAGATCTCATGAGATTTATTACCATGAGAACAGTATGGGGGAACCACCCCAACGATTCAATTATCTCCCGCCAGGTCCCTCCCACAACATGTGGGAATTATGGAGCTACAATTTAAGATGAGATTTGGATGGGTACACAGCAAAACCATATCATGTTGTAATGATATGAGTCCTAGGTTGATTGCATGTATACAAATGGCTTCATTTGTAAACAGCAGATGCTCTGGACTTGCAGTCTAGAACAGCACTTCTCAGACTTAAATGTACAAACAAATCACCAAGGGATCTTGCGAAACATGCAGATTTTGATTCCGTAGATTCTTGGAAGAAGCAATACGCCATGGACCTTCAATGCCCCTATGTGTTCTTACTCTGTATAACAAGAATGCAAGGCTCTGACTGCTTATAACCAGGACCAATTCTTAAGGTTGTTTTTGCAGAGAACAACATCATGGAAAGAAGTAATTTCCCTCCCCAGCACTCTCCACCCTAAACAAAAAACAAAGAGCAGGCTTGCTTACTGCTCACTATAAAAACAGTGAATTCCCTAATCTCAGTGTGTCTCAGCTGTCACCTGGGCCTCTCTACATCTCCCCTATGAGACTTGGGGGCTATGGGAAACTGATGAAAAACAACATTATACTCACGACACCAGCTGTGATGTGAGTAATAAAATCCTTTATCTCTGACCCAGGACTTGTGTGCTCTGTCAGCATCCATGAGACAGTAACAGGCTAACTTATTCGCCTGCAAGTGGGATAAAATATCAGATCCTTCATAGACACTGACATAGTTCTTGGGGTGGTACCTGATATACCACCTTTCTAACCACCAGGTTCTTCTGGTACTACTCATCCACGGACCACATTTTGAGTAGTAATAGTTTTGAAATATTAAGCCCTGGATTTACCACTAACGATATGGCCTTGGGCAAGCTCCTTCACATTTCTGAGACTGTTTCCGTATCTACAAACAGATGAGTTTGAAGGTCTCTTCCAAAATTAACTCTATGATTCCAGGTCACTATTACCATCAACAGGTCGTGCCTCTTCCCATTCTTTCATTCCTTCAACCAACACTTTATATACCCATCATTTGCAAGACGCCAGGAATAGGTTGAGTGACAGCTGGATGTGCGCAGAGTTGGGCAAACGATGAGCAGTGAAAGCTGCCCCATAGGGAGACATACAGACAGTGCTAAGCAAGTCAATTGCCTCCTTCAACTGGTTTATGATTTATTCCAAACCAAGGCACTTTTGCCAGTGAAAGAGGAGGTTATTAATAGCTACACCAGGATGACAGGGATAAACTGGGACAATGCTGGAGGCCCTATTGTTAGGGCCCCGCAAAGCCCTAGTTCCTTCCAGACTTTTTTTCTTCTTTTTTTTAAATTTTTATTTTCAGTTTGAGGGTACATGTGAAGGTTTGTTATGTAGGTACACGTGTCATGGCGGTTTGTTGTGCACATCATTTTGTCATTCAGGCATTAAGCCCAGTACCCAATAGTTATCTTTTCTGCTCCTCTCCCTCCACCCACTCTCCCCCCAGCGTCGCTTGTTTCCTTTGTTGTGTTCATACATTACCATTTAACTCCCATTCTCTCTTTTCTTTTCTTTTTTATTTTATTTTGAGACAGAGTTTCGCTTTTGTTAACCAGGCTGGAGTGCAGTAGTGCAATCTTGACTCACTGCAACTTCCGCCTCCCGGGGAGGGGGGCGGTTCAAGCGATTCTCCTGCCTCAGCCTGGCAAGTAGCTGGGACTACAGGTAGGCAACACCAAGCCCGGCTAATTTTTGTAATTTTTGTATTTTTATTAGAGGCGGGGTTTCATCATGTGGGCCAGGATGGTCTCAATCTCTTGACCTCATGATCTGTCCGCCTCGGCCTCCCAAAGTGCTAGGATTACAGGCGTGAGCCACTGCCCGGCCCTCTTTTATTTTTCTGATCAAAGACCTTTATTCTGGTCCTCATCATTCAGTAAGCCACTTAAGCAGAACACTTTTTTCACCTCTGCTCCAAGCAGCAGCAGCTGCATCCAGGCTTGACTGGAAGACGGACACCTGTTGTGGAAGGTCTTGTAGGGAAAAGCCAAAAGTTGAGATTGCGGCTTATCCCAGCGTAGGTGAGTGTTGGGGTCCGGCACGTCTGCCGGGGGGCTACCAACCAGCGGGAGTCCCCGAGACCGCCAACATAGTTGTCTCATTCGATCTGAGGGAGAGAGTGCACGGAAGTGAAAGAAAAGAGAAAAGCGGAGTCTGGAGGGCTGGCTTAGGCTATGTCCAAGCAGCAATTTTATTTTTGCAATATGTTCCATTATATACTTTTCTGAAGTTAATGTTGTTTACACCAGATCAACATACTTAAGTTACAGTAAGCAAGTTACACCCACTAAGTTACGCCCAGTAAGTAAATTAAGCCCAGTAAGTCAGTTATGCCCAGTAAGTACCTAACAATTGTAAATACTTAAGTCACAAGGTAAGCAAGTTACAGTTATGCCCAGTAAGTTATGGTAAGTTACAGTTACACCCAGTAAGTTCCAGTAAGTAAAGTTACCAAGTGTAAATACTTAAGTTAGTATTTTACAATGAAGGTAGCAAGGGTCCAAAATGAACACAATCAAGCAATAAACCATAAGGAGCCGAAAGTGGACACAATGCCTCCCAAGTCCTCATATCCATAAAGTCATGTCTGTTAATTATTTTGAATAGCATAGTCCCTCTCTTGGTTCCTGCTTTCCCTCAGCTCGACTCCCCCAACCGGGGATTTGTGTCCGGGCTGAAGCTCACCATATGGCAAGGCCCATTTCCTAGGGGCCTCACATGGGAGCGATCCCTACAGATCCCTCAGTTGAGGGTAGAACAGGAAGAGTATGTATGCAAGTGCCAAGACGCTGTTCTTCGATGCTGAGGCCTGCGGAGAGGGGTGGGCTGAAGGATAGAGATGAAGGCGCAGAACCTGCACCGCTGAGCCATTGACCCCAAGTACCCTCCAGAAAAGCAGATCCAGCCACAGCTTCTCTTGCATTATCTACATCTCTCTGGAGGGTTTTCCTCTTTCCCTGTTGAGTGCAGCCATAGGCATCTTTTACAATGGTCTCCACACGCAGTTTCCCGGCTCAGGCTGGAATGACTGCGTCACCTTGGGGTCTGCCTTCACCGAGGCCTTCACTTGCGCCCACGCCTAAGGCAGCCTCCAGGGACAAGCCCTGGGCACTCTCATCTGAGGCTTGGGGCTGTGGGGCGCTGCCTCCCCACCAGGTCGTCCCTGTGTAACCAGGTGACAGGAGCAGGGCTGCAGGGGTGTCCCAACGACACTCACTGTTCCCTGATGGGATGTGTTTTCCCAGGTCCTAGGGCCTCACTCACCCAAGAATGGGGAGGCGGACCCTGGCAGCGAGGTGATAACATTCAAGTAAATATCGGACCCAAAGAGCTTAGCAGAAAACTCTTTTATTAGGCAGAGAGAATGAGCTTTTGGCCTTTTTTTTAAAAAAAAAAAACAAGGGGCCAGGCGCGGTGGCTCACGCCTATAACCCCAGCACTTTGGGAGGCCGAGGCGGGTGGATCATGAGGTCAAGAGATCGAGACCATCCTGGCCAACATGGTGAAACCCCGCCTCTACTCAAAATACAAAAATTAGCTGGGCATGGTGGTGCACGCCTGTAGTCCCAGCTACTCAGGAGGCTGAGGCAGGAGAATTGCTTGAACCCAGGAGGCGGAGGTTGCCGTGAGCCGAGATCGAGCCATTGCACTCCAGCCTGGGTAACAAGAGCGAAACTCCGTCTCAAAAAAAAAGGGAAGCTCACCTGGGCCGTCCACCTTTCCGGCGCGGGAAAGTTAGACACAGAACTCTAGGCTCCCAGATGGGGAGGTGGATGGAGGAATGGCGCTGGGAAGCTCTTGCCTTTAAAGCCACGGCCCTTGTGGACCCGGGAAGAGTTAACAGAGTCCCTCACCTCCATTGCTTCCAGGCGCCCCCACCCTCCAGGCCCTGAGCACGGATGCCCAGCCGCCTATTGTGTTTAGGGAAAAAAAGTTACCACGTTATCAGTTTATCTGTTTGTGTGTGTGTTTGTTTGATTTTGTTTTATAGACAGTCTCTCTCTGTGGCCTAGGCTGGCGTGCAGTGACGCAATCTCGAGTCACGGCAACCTCTGCCTCCCGGGTTCAAGTGATTCTCCCACCTCAGCGTCCTTGAATAGCTGGGGCCACAAGTGGGCGCCACCACTGCTGGCTAAGTTTTTTTTTTTCTTTTTATAGAGGCGGGGATCTCTCTGTGTTGCCCAGGCTGGTCTTGAACTTCTGGCTTCAAGCGATCCGCTTGCCTCAGCCTCTCAAAGCTGGGATTACAGGCTTAATCCCACTGCACCCAGCCTGAATTAATTTTACTGTGTATATTCAAAGTTTACAGCATGATGTTATGTGATACATATTAGTATGTATTATATATAATATATTTTAATAGTAAAATGGTTACTTCAGTGAAACAGACTAATGTATCTATTATTTCACAGATACTTCTGTTTTGTAACAAAAGCTGCCAAAATCTATTTATTTAACAAAAATCTCTAATACAACACAATCTTATTAACTATCTCCTCGCATTATACATTAGACCTCTAGACTTGTTCATCTTACATCCTTCCAGACCTTCTAATCCTCTCTTTGTCTTCCCACTCTTCACCTGTTTTCTTCCCTCCTGGCATAGGTCTTAAAATGTCCTATTGCATTACCTCAAAAGCTAGTCACAGGAGAACAAAGATTTGCTTTGGCAAGGTGAAGACTGTACCAAGTCTTGCATAATCTCCTCTCACATGCGGAGTTCACGAGCAGCTGCTCTGGAGGTGGGTGAAAATAACCCACCATTTCAGTTTTTATAACCCATTCAGGTGTGACAATGCTATTTTTAGGGCACAATAATTTAAAGGCTCTTGCCGGCCTGGGTGGGGAAAGACCTTCAACCCTTTAGAGAAATGAAGTGGGTTCTTGTCTTGTCTCTTCCGGCCAGCGTCCAGAAGTAGTTTTGTCTTTGTAGTAACATGAAATGATTCGCTGCTTACTTTGACTGAGGGTTTAAAAAACTGGTGCTAAAAATACCCAACTTAGAAAGTTTCAGATCACTGGAATTTAGGACACCTTCCAGCTTCATGGTCTTTGTTTATCGAAAGGAACTTAATGTCCCCTATTACACGTTGATTTTTTGGAGACAAAAGTGATACCCTTTGAGTACTTCTCTTAGTTTGTATTTCCCTAAAGCAGACCTTGAAGCAAGGATTTTGGGGCAAATAATTTATTCAGGACCAAAGCGAGAGAGTGGGTCAGGGAGGCAAGAAAGGGAGAAAAGCTAATAAAAAGCACGTTAATAAGAATACTTCTGTTGTAGGCAAATGGTTGTGGGTTTTTTTGTTTTTGCTTTTTGTTTTTTTTGAGATGGAGTCTTGCTCTGTCACCCAGGCTGGAGTGCAGTGGCACAACCTTGGCTCACTGCAACCTCCGCCTCCTGAGTTCAAGCAATTATTTCACCTCAGCCTCCCGAGTACCTAAGATTACAGGCATGTGCCACCATGCCTAGCTAATGTTTACATTTTTAGTAGAGGTGGTGTTTCACCATGTTGGCCAGGCTGGTCTCGAACTCCTGACCTCAAGTGATCTGCCCACCTAGGCTTTCCAAAGTGCTGGGATTAAAGGCTGAGCCACTTTACCCAGCTGGCATATGGGTTTTAGCCCTGCTGAGAGTCTGTTGGAACATGCCTCAAAACTCTCCCACTGTGGGGTGAGAGAGTTGAGGCATTTATACTCCAATGCCCATCCCTCAGTGATTGAGGGCTGCTCCTGGGCCATTAACTACCTGACACTTCTGAACCACACTCTGAAGGGGACTGAACAACTCCTACTCCAAGGACAGAGAATGTGCCAAGAGACATAGGAAGTCCTCCAAGTAGGCAAAGGACATATGGGTGGGGCACTGACAGTATCTGCTACAAGGGTCAAAGTTGGGTTCATATATGAACCGTGTATTCCTCACTTAAGATACACAGTATGGTCATTTGGAAAACCATGTTTGCCTTGCAAGGTCTGTTTGCCTTTAATAAAGTAGCAGAAAATCCAGCAGTATCTACTAGCTGTGGAGCAAGCACGATGTGGAATTGAAGGCCTCATCATTTGCAGTTCCCATCCCCCAACTCCAACGGCTTAGAGTAAATGAGGTCACCCTCTCTCTGTAGTGTCAGCACAAGTCTGGGCAGAAGATGACACCATTGCCACTGGAAAACTGAGACAGCAGCATTTGCAAGGTACAGGAAAGAACAGGGCTCAGACTCCATCATTGTATCTAGACAATGCAAGTAGCAATGCCAATT